TTATTGTGATGGAAATCTGCGATTCCGACTTGAAGAAGTTATGCCGCACGGACGTGCAGCTGGAGTTTGACCACGTCAACACGCTTCTGTACACCCTGCTAACAGGCATCAAGTATCTCCACTCTGCAGGGATCTACCACCGCGATCTGAAGCCGGCAAATTGCCTCGTAAACCATGATTGTTCCGTGAAGATATGCGATTTCGGCCTCTCGCGAGCCATCGGGAATGTGGCGCAGGGTCTGGAGGAGCTGCCCAACACCCCGCGCGGTGATGACCAGGACGATGCGCAGAAGCGTCCCGCAGTGCCCCACACGCAGCAGCTGAAGAGGAACCTCACTGGGCACGTGGTCTCGCGGTGGTACCGCGCGCCCGAGCTGATCCTGCTCCAGGAGAACTACACGGAGGCCATCGACGTTTGGTCCGTCGGCTGCATCTACGCGGAGCTGATGGGCATGTTAGAGGGCACTAGGACCCAGGACCGAGGCCCGCTGTTCCCAGGCACCTCGTGCTTCCCCCTGTCCCCTGACCACAAGCACAAGATGGACTACAAGTACCACACCCGCGGGAAGCACGACCAGCTCAACATGATATTCACGTTGCTTGGCACTCCCTCCGACGAAGACATGGAGATGATGGGCCGCGAGCGCGAGGACGCCAAGCGGTACCTCAAGTGTTTCGCGAAGCGAAAGGGAGATGGCCTCCAGTCGAAGTTCCCGCACATCAGCCCAGATTGTATAGACCTGCTCGGCGGCATGCTGAAGTTTAACCCGCACAGCAGGATCAGCGTCGACAAGGCCCTGGATGTCCCGATCTTCGAGGAGGTGCGGAACCCGACCAAGGAGACCACGTCCGCGAGTTTGATCTCCCTCGCCTTCGACAGGGAGCCGGACCTCGACGAGGGCAAACTCAGGCTCGGCGGCGAGCGAGGGGGGGAAAGTGAGAAGGGACGGGCCTTCTCAGAAGGCTCGGAAGTCCCTGGGTTTTCTGAGCAGTTTTCCAGGCCTTCCCCGCATACGCGGAATGCCTCTGAGGTGAGGAGGCGCGAGGGTCTCTGAGAAGTCCCGCCGCCTTCTGAGGAGGCCTTCTCCTCTCTCGGAAGCCGGGCAAGGGCTGCTAAATCCGTGGCTGCTAAAATCGACCTCCGGGGAGTTGCCTTCGTCCTTCCGGGAAGAAGCCCGTTGACTGTTTCGCGTGCCGCGCCTACTTCCGGGAAGCCGTGTTTTCCCTCCGGGAGGGCCGTGTTCTGGCAGCCACGGTTTTATAGCAGCCTTCGCCCAGCTTCCGGTGCTCCCTCTCGTGTCCCCCCCTCGCTGCTCGTTCGCCGCCGACAGGCAGCTCTTCAAGCTGGAGCTCGGCAAGTACCACCCCGAGGCGAAGCGGCCGGCGGAGCAGCAGCCGGAGGGCCCGGACGCGCCAGCCGAGGCGGCCCCGCGGAGCGGCGCCGGCCTCTCGCGCTGGTGCTGCCTGCGGGGGGCGAGCGGGGCCCAGCAGGGGCCGCCGCCCGCCGTGGAGCGGCCAACGCAGCCGCCGAAGAAGAAAACAGCGCAGAGGGGCGAGTGGTGAGGGGGCGGCAAGGATCGGAGGTGAACAGACCTCCTACCCTGGCACGTCGAGTAAGGAATTGGCAGCTTTCGGTTCGCGGGGGGGCGTCGCGGCCATCATTTTTGCGGGTCCAGGTCCGTCGGTTTCGGTCCCAGGCCGTTTTCACTAAGGGGAGGTTTGCTAAAGGGAGGTCTGTCCACAGCCGAAAAGGGGGGGGGTGATGACTAGGGGGGGTTGGATATCATGGCGGGGGGCCATGAAATTTTCCCATGTTTCAGGGCGCGCCTCTTCAGATGTCATTACGTCCCTGGCCCCCCCCAATTGCCGCGCACATGCCGCCGGCCATGATTTGCACCCCCCCTCTTGGACGCCCCCCTCTTGGCCGCCCCCGAGAGTGGTGAGGGGAGGTTCTTCGGATCGGAGGTGGACAGAGTCCCCACCCTGACACGTCGATCAGTGAATTGCCCGTTCTCGGTTCTCGGGAGGGCGCCGCGGCCCTCATTTTCCAGGCTTGCGCCCGCCAGGTTTGGGCCCGAGGTCGTTTTCAGTAAACCACGTTGTACTGAGGGGGTTTTGTCCATCCCCGATCGGACGGGGCTAGGACGAGGACAACTCCGTTCCAGAGCGTGCTGGCGCGCTCTGAGGAGGCCGCGGCGCGCGACAAATTCCCGAGCGCCACCGGATCTCAGAGATTCTCGATGTAGCTTCACCCAATTACTTTTATCCTTGTCTTGGCTTCGGCTTGGTTCTCGTCGCCACGATTTGACGCAGCTCGAATGCTTTGCTCGCATGGGCCCTGGGAGGATTCCGCCTCCCGGGCGGGGGAGGAACACCAGCAGAGGTCGATGCTTATCCCCGGCTTCGCTGGCCAGGCCCCTGGGGCCGCGACCACTTCGTGGAAGCGGGGCGTTTTGTTCGCGGGTGCCACCCTTCGGAACGTAACCGTGCGACCGCGTATCCGCAGGGTCATGGCCCGGAATCCAGATCGGCGTTGGGCCCCCCCTGGCGCGCGGAGCGCGCCAGGAGCGGCGCCGCAGGCGCCCCCAGGGGGCCCCAGCGCCGATACGAGAAATCCGCGCGGACCTCGGAGTTGTTTGTTTATGTCACGGTTTGTGTCCCTAGATCTGAACATGTTCGCCGATCGTGAGCGCCTCCGCTGAGGGTGGGCCTCTCGGCGTGGTCGTCGTGTGGCGTCGTCCGCCGCGTCTGATGGGAGCGCCGCAGGGCCTGCACCTCGAGTGGAAGTGGCGCGGCGGGCCCGCGGCGTGGGCGGCAGAGTGGATCGAGCTCTTCCACATAGAGGAGCGGGCGAAGTCGGAGGAGGAGGAGGAGGAGGAGGAGGATCGGGAGGTTCAGGGAGCATGGAGAAAGCATGAGGACCGAGGATCGAGGAGAAGGAGGAAGGCGTGAATGGAGGAGGAGGAGGAGGAGAATTGGGGAGCAGATTTGAGGAGGAGGAGGAGGAGGCGGATGGAGGGGGGGCATCGAACGAGAGGCGTCAGCTGTCGCCGGCGGAGCCGCCTCTCCAGCTCCAAGCTCGAGAGGGGGTCGAGGACGAGGCCCGGGGAGGTCACCAGGAAGGCGAGAGGCCCAGGAGAGCAGCTGTCTTACGTCGGGCCTGTCCCTCTACAGGGGGAATATTCAAAAATAGTCCAACCATAGTCTGGGGACTATTTTTTGACAATGTTTGAATACTTTAGTGTATTTTTTGAGCCTTTGTTTTCGCTTAAGATCCCCCTGTAGGGGGACACGCCCGACTTAACAGAAGTCCTGCAGTGCATCTTCGCCGCCGTCGGGGCCCCTCCCGGGCCCCGGAACGCTGGGCACAAGCTGGCTCAGGATAGCAATGCGGGGGCGGTCCAGGAGGGGGGGACGACTGCCGTCGGACCGAGGCGTATCAGATCGAGGTCACTTCGGGGAGGGTAGCCTCCTCCCCCTCCTCCTCCTCCTCCTCCTCCTCCTCCTCCTCCTCCTCTTCGCCCTTGTTGGATGTTATCGTGCAGCCTCGGGAGGGTGCCCTGGGACTTTCTGCGTGTGCTTGGGCTGGCGGAGGGGCTCCTGTTCTTGAGGGAGGCGCTCCTGGCCCAGGTTTCAGTCGGGCCTGTCCCTCTACAGGAGGGATATGCAAAAATAGTCACAAACAAAATAGTCAGGGGATGATTTTTTGTCGACTTTTGCATACTTTAGGGCATCTTTTGACTATTTTTTATTTTTCGTCCAAAATCCCCCTGTAGGGGGACGGGCCCGACTTAAGCCTAGGTCCGACTGCTGTAGCGGGGGGGGGACCACGGTTGGGGCCATGATTAGTTCCCCAGGTGCCATCCATTCAGGAGGAAAAAAGGCACACAGACACAATTGATCGTCGATTGCCCGAGAAAATATGGGAAAATGTGGGCAGTTGGGGGGAAAGGATACAACCACCCAGAAAAATATGGAGGAAATATGGGGAATCCTTGTATTCGTGCGTATTTATATATATATATATATATATATATATGAGTGTGTGTGTATGTGTGTGTGTGTGTTGGTGTGTGTGTGTCCCAGGGCCCCTTCAAAAGACACGCCCCCCTCGTTCTTACCTCAACACGTGCCCCGCGGGCCCCTCCCCGGGCCGCGCGCCCGCGCCGCGGGCCGCGGCCTGCGCGCCCCCCTTTTCCTGGACACGCCCCTCGTCTCGGCCGCCCCCGGGCGATCGGGAGCCGCCCGCGTCCAGCCTCCTGTCGGGCCTGTCCCTCTACAGGGGGAAGATTCAGAAACAGTCAACAAATAGTCTGGGGACTATCTTTTGACCATGTTGGAGCATTTTGGGTGCATTTTTGGGGTATGTTCTAATTCTTCGTCCATTTTGGAGCATTTTGGGTGCATTTTTTGGAAGATTAAAAAAACAGTCAACAAATAGTCTGGGGACCATTTTTTATCATTTGGGGCATTTCCAATGTTTGATCTTTGGTGCATGTGTGGGGGTATTTTGTCGGTGCATGTTCGGTGCATCTTTTAGGGGGGTATGTTTGGTGTTCTTCGTCCAAGATCGGCCTGGAGGGGGACAGGCCCGGCTCAACTCCGGCCCCGAGGAGGAGCAGGAGGGGCGAGAGGGTCCTCCTCCGCCTCTCTCTCTCTCTCTTTCCGCGCTCCCTGTTCTCTCGTGGGCTTCGGGGCCTCCTTCTCCTCCTCCTCCTCCTCCTCCTCCTCCTCCTCCTCCTCCTCCTCCTCCTCCCTCTCTTTTTTTGTTCTCTCTCTCTCTCTCTCCCTCTCTTGCGGGCTCCCTGTCCTCTCGTGGGCAGTCGGGGCCTTCGTCGCCCCACGCCCGGACGGGGGCTTCGCCAGACCCCACCAGGAGGGCCCACGCGCCCCGCCGCCCCTCCGCGCCCGTGGGCCCCGCAGTCTCCCACTCCCTCTCTCTCTCTCTCGTGGGAGGAGGAGGAGGAGGAGGAGGAGGAGGAGGAGGAGGAGGAGGAGGAGGAGGAGGAGGAGGAGGAGGAGGAGGAGGAGGAGGGAGGGAGGGAGGAGGGACGAGGGACGAGGGAGGGACGAGGGACGAGGGACGAGGGACGAGGGACGAGGACGAGGGACGAGGACGGGACGAGGGACGAGGGGAGGAGGAGGAGGGAGGAGGGAGGAGGGGGAGGAGGAGAGGAGGAGGAGGGGAGGAGGGAGGAGGGAGGAGGAGGAGGAGGAGGAGGAGAGGGAGGAGGAGGAGGAGGAGGAGGAGGAGGGGGAGGAGGAGGAGGAGGAGGAGGGAGGAGGACGAGGAGGAGGAGGAGGAGGAGGAGGAGGAGGAGGAGGAGGAGGAGGGTTCAGGGTTTCCGGAACCGGCCACGTCTCTCGCAGTCACCCCCTGTCGTGCCGCCTCGCCCGCCTGCCTCCCGCCTCCTGGCACCTACCTCTCATCCGCCACCCCCTGGCCTGCACGGCCGCCGCCCGCCGCGAGGACCCCACGAGCGAGGACGCCGCCGAGAACGGAGGGGCCCCGCTCGCGGGCAGCTTGCGCAGCTCGGCCTCTGCCCGCATCTCTCGCGCGCCGCGGCCCCCCGCGCGTTGGGAGGGGCGCGCGGCCCGCGTCGTCTTGGCCCTCCGAGGCCAGGGCACGACGGGGAGACTCTCTGTGGGGCACGGAGGGGGCGGCGGCCGAGCACCGCGGGCGACGAGCACGCCCGTGCCCGCGGGCCCCGCGGGCCAGAGGCCCTCCTGCTCCTCCTTCCTCCTCCTCCTCCTCCTCCTCCTCCTCCTCCCTCCTCCTCCCTCCTCCTCCTCCCCTCCTCCTCCTCCTCCTCCTCCTCCTCCTTCTCCTTCTCCTCCTCCTCTTCCTCCTCCCTCCTCCTCCTCCTCCCCCTCCTCCTCCCCCTCCTCCTCCCCCTCCTCCCCCCGCGGATTGGGGGGCGGGTGTTCGCGGATGCTCCGCGCGGCACGTGTCCGTGCGATCGTGCAGCCGCGGGAGGGTGCCCCGGGAGGCCGGGCCGCGAGAGTGCGCGGGTGCGGACATATGTTGGCCGCTCGTTGGGGGCCATCGTTGCCCGTGGGCACAAGCGCGTGTGAGGGCGTCGAAACGTGGGCACGGGGAGCACTCGCTGCACGGGGGGCACGGTCTGGCCTGTGTTGTCCCATTTCTCCTCCTTCGTTGTCTGTCGGAGGTTGATCGACCTCCCACCCTGACACGTCGATTGAGGAATTGGCCGTTTTCGGTTCGCGAGGGGGCGTCGCGGCCGTCATTTTTGCGGGTCCAGGTCCGTCGGTTTCGGTCCCAGGCCGTGTTCAGTGGAGGTTTACTGAAGGGAGGTTTGTCCACCGCCGAGTCTGCTCTGGGAGAGTGCTTGTTTGGTTTTGTGTGCGTGGTGCTTTGGTGTTGGCGCGCAGGTTTCTCGCGCAACGTCGCGCGGCAGCGCCCTCTCGTCGTCTTTTTGTCTGCGCTCGTGTATTCCAACGCGCAGATGTTCGCGCGCAGGCTTTTCGCGAACGGTCGAGCGTGAGGGGGCCTCTTCGCCGAGCGGTGCGCCGTGCTGGCAGCTCTGTGGAAGCCATCGCGTAAGCTCGACGTGTCCTCGTGCGTGAGAGTTCTTCTCCCTCGTCCCCAGGCGGGAGCGAGCGTCGAAGAGATCAATGCAGCTTCTGTTGCGGGTGCACTGAACACCCGCTGCGAGTGCATCGGAGCCCATGAGTTTCAGAGCCTGGGTCCCCGGATGAGCCTCCTCGGGGCGGCATGCTTACTCTCACGATCTGTCAGACTTGCAGATGCGCCAACACAACCGATACCAGAATGGCGAGTTTTTTGTTGTTGTCCTATCTGGGCCCCAGACATTCGAACCGATACCCAGCACGACATGGGCCCTGCAAACGATCGACACGATCCTTAGAACCAACTCTCTTCGCCGCTGATCGAGCCGGGTGGGCCTCGAGCCCGAGAGACGCTCTTCGAGGCGCATCCGTAAAGAAAACAGCCGCTGCACTATTCCATTGAACTTGGCATCGCTCGAACGTGTGTATTTTTTCTCGGCGAGGACCATCGAGGAGCATTTTGCTCACCTTGGGAAACAAAAAAAACACACGAAACCGAAACATGCACAGGGAATGGACGTCCGAGCGATGGCGAGTGAACGCCCCTGAGGGGGCAGGCGTCTCCAGACCGCGCACGTCGGCCACAGAGTTGTGTTGAAGAAGGCTGGACGCCCGAGGGACGCACGGGTGAGGCAGGTCGCCGAACACACGCGGTTGCAATAGCAGGGAACACTCGGCTGGTAAGGCTGGCTGGAGGGCCTGCGTGCGATGGCATTTGCATGTCTTGGGTGCGTCTACGCGCCCTTCGGCGTAGGCTTTGTGAGTGAGTGAGTGAGTGAGTGAGTGACCCTCCCTTCTTACTCAAGGCGGTGTCCCTCCTCGCCGCCGGCAACCGCCGTCCCAACAAAACCAGCGTTCCCGCTCGAGACTTCGTTTTGTTCTTCGCTGGACTGTTACTTTGGATTGGCGCGCTACTCTTTCGCTCATTGGCGCCGACCCCAGCAACAACAACGCTCCCGCTCGAGACTTCCTCTCTTTTTGCTCAAGACTGTTCTCCTCCTCGCCGCCGAAAACAGCCTCCCCGACAAAACTAGCGCTCCCGCCCTAGAATTCCTTTCGTTTTATGCTGGACTTGCGCCCTACTCTCTTTTGAGTTGGCGCCGCTCCCAGCAAGAAGAACAACGCTCCCGCTCGAGGCTTCCTCTTTGTTTTCTCAGGACGGTATTGTTCCTCGCCGCCGACAGCCCCCGTCCCGACAAAACCACGGCTTCCGCTTGTCACTCTTTCCCTTCTTACTCAAGGCGGTGTCCCTCCTCGCCGCCGAAAGCCGCCGTCCCAACAAAACCAGCGTTCCTGCTCGAGACTTCGTTTTGTTTTTCGCTGGACTAGTACCCTACTCTCGTCAGCATTGGCGCCGCCCCCAGCAACAACAGCGGCCCTGCTCGAGACTTCCTCCCTTTCTATTCAGGGCCAGGTCCTTGCCTCGCCGCCGACAGCCCCCATCCCCACCAAGGTAATCCTGTCGCTCGATACTTCCTTGTGCTTTACCCTTGGCTGGGGCTCCACTGGCGGTCTCGCATCGGCGCAGCAAGACGCGGGCATGCGCTTTCGAGGCTGGATGATTTGAACATCCTCGGAGAAGTTGTTTGCAAGACCTCATTGGGCAGGAGATCTGGGAATGTGAATGACGGACCCCGCTATAGAACAACCATCCCCCATGATGGGGATGGTTATCATGATGGTCGCATGCTTCGTGTGGAAACATCGCGCATAAGGGTAACATGATGATTGTTTCTGCTGTTGTTGTCGTCGTTATTGTTATTGTTGTTGTCGGAAGTGTAGCTGTTGCTGTTGTTGTTGATGTTGTTGTTGTTGTTGTTGTTGTTGGTAGTGGTGTTGCTGTTGCTGATGCTGTTGTTGTTGGTGCTGGTGCTGATGTTGTTGTGATCGTCGTTGCTGTCCTAGTTGTTGAATGAATTCCATGTCTAACAAACAACTAATGTTCATCCCCCCTCGGGGGCACAGCGTGTTCTTTCACTTGAAGGGCCCTTCCCGGGGTTCGCACCCGTTTTTGTTATCAGAGAGAGTCTTGAGTCTCTGAATTAAGTTGTTGGGTCCTGGTGTACAACAACAACGGCTCCCGCGTGATATTTCCTTGCAGTGTATTACCAAATTGTGCTCTCGCGCGGGACTTCCTCACAATGTCTGCAGGAAACGCGCTATTGCGTGGGACCCTCGCAATCTATTCAGACCCCACGCCCTCGACACTCAGGAATCACGCTCTCGCTGTGGAATTCGTCTCGATCTATTTGGGAATCGCGCTATCGCTCGAGACCTCCTCGCGATTCATGCAGGACGCACGCTTCAGCAATCCGCCTGCTCGACCTGGCCGCCTGGGCCGGCCTTCCCGACCTGCCCGTTGGGGTCTATCCGCCCGATCTGCCCGTCTGGTTCTGCCACGTGTTTCCTGCTCCTAGCCCCCCTTCTGCCACTCTCTCGTGCTCCATCATCCTTGCTGTTGTCCCTTCCTTCCATCCGTCCTTTAATATTCCCCTGCCTCAGGGGCTGCACGAAATACACTTTGCAGGGCAGGAAGATACACCCCCAAGGGGGGACGATCGAACACGAAAAGTGTGGGTATCGATGGATTGGGATATACGTGTTGAAGAGTTTGATTAGCACGCCAGCAGATAAGAGCGAACAGTCTCATATTCATTGTTGTTGTCGTCGTCGTCGTAGTCGTCGTAGTCGTCGTCGTCTTTGCCGTCGTCGTCGTTCCCGCCGCGGCCCCGCGACCCACCCGCGACCCACCCGCGGCGAAGGCGTGTGGGTGGGCGACGGCGTGGCAAAATCTCGGCCGGCGGACATGCGTTGCGTCGCTGGGGCCCTGGGCCGGCGGAGTGAGCAGGCCTCGGGAGGACACCAGGAGGGCTTGCGAGGGCTCTTTGGGAAGGTATGGTTAAGTCGGGCGTGTCCCCCTACAAGGAGATTTTCGACGAAAACTGAAAATTAGCCTGGCGAAGGACCCAACCATATGCAGTTGTGAGTAATGCTGGTGTGAGTACCGTCTTCGGTGGATCTCCCTATGGGGCCACGAACCGTTTGAGGGGTGTGCCGAAATGGGTGTGGGGGCGGCATGCGAACGTTGCCACTGGGGCCTTCGGTGGAGCTCCTTATGGGGCCACGAAACGTGTGAGGGGTGCACCGAAGTTGGTGTGGGGGCGGCATGCGAACGCAGCCACTGGGGCCTTCGGTGGAGCTCCCTGTGGGGCCACGAAACGTGGGAGGGGTGTGCCGAAATGGGTGTGGGGGCGACATGCGGACCCTGCCACTGGGGCCTTCGGTGGAGCTCCCTATGGTGCCACGAAACGTGTGAGGGGTGTGCCGAAATGGGTGTGGGGGCGCATGCGAACCCAGTCACTGGGGCCTTCAGTGGAAATCCCCATGAGGACACGAAACGTGTGAGGGATGTTCCGAAATGGGTGGTGGGGAGGCATACGAACCAGGCCACTGGGGCCTTCGGTGGAGCTCCCTATGGGGCCACGAAACGTGTGAGGGGTGTGCCGAAATGGGTGGTGGGGAGGCATGCGGACCCTGCCACTGGGGCCTTCGGTGGAGCTCCCTATGGGGCCACGAAACGTGTGAGGGGTGTGCCGAAATGGGTGGTGGGGAGGCATGCGAACCCTGCCACTGGGGCCTTCGGTGGAGCTCCCTATGGGGCCACGAAACGTGTGAGGGGTGTGCCGAAATGGGTGGTGGGGAGGCATGCGAACCTGCCACTGGGGCCTTCGGTGGAGCTCCCTATGGGGCCACGAAACGTGTGAGGGGTGTGCCGAAATGGGTGTGGGGGCGGCATGCGAACGTTGCCACTGGGGCCTTCGGTGGAGCTCCTTATGGGGCCACGAAACGTGTGAGGGGTATGGGGGCGGCATGCGAACGCAGCCACTGGGGCCTTCGGTGGAGCTCCCTA